GGAGGTGGTCTAGCTTGTGAAGGTGCTCAAGAAGATGATACTGTTCCAGAATTGGAAGAAGGTTTTTAACAAGTTCAGAGGCCACAAAGAATCATACAAATACCAAGGAGATTCATAGAGTTTGACATGTTGCAAGATACTGAAGTAGACTCTGAGGGAGAAGTTGTTTAGTGTGCCATGTTAGTAGACTTTGAACCAGATAGTAATGAAGAAACTCTCAAGAAGAAATTATGGTTGAAGGCCATGAAAGAAGAACTTGAGGCTATGAGGTATAGAGTGTTGTCCCTTTCTGGTGTTAAAACTGGCACAAAGTTTATATGTTATTCAAACTCTGATTGGTGTGGAGACAGAGTTGACAGAAGAAGTACTTATGGATATTTTTACAAGTATCTGGGAATTCCTATTTCTTAGTTCTCCAAGAAGAAACTAGTGGTTGCATTGTCAACTTATGAAGCTGAATACATTGCAGGTGCTTTGAGTGTGTGTCAATTTGTTTGGCTGATGAATTTGTTGCAGGATATGAAGATCAAGGTGAGCAAACCTGTGAAGTTGATGATTGACAACAAATAAGCTATAAGCCTTGCTAAGAATCCAATGATGTATGGGAGAAGCAAGCACATTAACACAAAGTTCCATTTTCTGAGAATTCAAGTCCAGAATAGAGTGATAGAAGTTGCACACTGTAGGACCCAGAAGCAACTTGTAGATGTCTTGACGAAAACTGTCAAGACTGAACACTTTATCCATTTGAGGGATGAAATTAGTATTTTATAATTTAATTAGCTGAACATAAATTAAAGGGTGGTGTTAGAAGTAATTCATATTCAGAAGCTTATGTTACTCAGAAGCTTCTGGGTCTATTAGTCAGAGGCAGTAGCTTCTGAGGTTGTTAGCCAAAAGTTGTAAGTTTCTGAGAGCACTTAGTTAGAAGCAGTAGTTTGATATGTTCTAGAAGCTATTCTTAACCGTTAACTTAGCTATTAAGCATACTTTTGTTAGGGCCTACATGGCAGTTTATTTTGTGTATATAAACAAGCTTGTAGCTAGGATTTTGTAATAAAATTAATGCAATTGTGTATAGAGTTTATTTCTGAGAAAGTTTTTATGGCCGTCTCTCTCTCTCTCTCTCACTCTATCTTCAAATTTCATCTTTAATCTTATACACCAACAATTAATATAGTCAAGCCACTCTTCAGTGAGTACAAAGGTTATGAAAACTTTGTTTGGTCTTCACGATGTTAGGATCTTATAAAATCTCAACATGGGGTTTATGTGTCCTCTTCCCAGAAACCGCAAAGCTACCATGTGGCATATTACGCCGCCGTCGCCGGAGAAACACAATGTCGAAGAGATGGGTTGGTGAGAGTTGAGTGGTTGGTGGATTCTTATGATGGTTAATAAGTTTTTGTATACATGGGTTATAAAATTAGATTGTAACTATGCATAAGACTCTTACTAAATAAAAAATGGGAAATAATGTTATAATCACGGATGGATGGAGTATTTAAATGTTGTTTCATTTTGGATTTATATGTCATATGATTGACTAGTTAAAAATTACTCTAACTATTCTATTATGTGAATGTATTTAATGTGTAATAATAAAACCAAAGCTCAATTCAATTTCACATGCACATTCACCTCACGAAGCTCTGAAGTACCGCATTGGAGCATGACTCTACCTTCATCTCAAACATTATATTCATTTAACGATATTTTATGGTTTGAGTTATGACAATTTTAATCATCATCCCTATATAAGAGGGACATTGCATCACGTTGATGGATGATTCATTCACACACTTGTAAGTTCCATCATTCTTATTTTGCTTACTTGAGCGACTGCTAACCTTCAAACTTTCAAGTACCCTTCTCTTCACTCACATGAGAAATCTACCATTGCACTAGATACCTTTACATGGTGATCATCATCAACCTTATATTCATTTCTATTCCACTATCAAATAGTAGTGTTGTCTGTAGGAATCGTCTTCTGATATCATGAATTACCTTCACATTTTCTCAATCTCTTTTCTTGGGCCACCACAAATGTTTTATGTTAATTGTATCAGACACCATAACTTTTTATCCTGTCGAGTTCCGATCATTCACTACAACAAAAACACCTTTTACCTTGGTGCAAAAAGAGATTTTACCTCAAATTTCACGGAGAGGTAATGAATGACGTCATGAAAAATGAGTCATTTTACCTCTCGATTTTAACTTGATCGACGAGTAATGTGTAATGGTCATAGGTTCGATCCCGAGGAGATCCTTCTTGGAAATGGTAAATGGAGAAAACACATTCTCTCTCGGTTTTGACATCCAACCTACGTGTATAATACCTTTCACCTCAGTTTTGACATTCAATTGACAGGTAAAACATGATTGAGTTTATTAAATCTGATGTATATTGCTTATTTCACTAAACCCTAACTGAACATATAACTTCTAAAAATTGGTTAGAAAAATAATTATATGAACAATTGTGTTATATTTGAAGAATAACTTAAATTAATCAATGATTTTCGAGCATCTTGTAATATGGTGCTTTATTACATTGCCTTTTCTAAAAACTCTACTCCTAAGCAATGTTGCCCAAGAATTGAAAGAATTGAGTAAATCCCATGCTAACTTGAAATTATAGGCTTCATTAACTTTGACGAGAGACCTTAAGCTGAGCATGCCTTCCTCAAAAGGACTACACATGACTCTCCAAGCTACTGTTATCACTTTACTTTTGGTTATATCGCCACTCCAAATAAACTACTTGATTTCTCTCTCAATATCCCAAAGAAGAGAAATAAGCCACGAATAAATGACCATATTGTGAATCAACATACTCTGAATAATGGATTTGCAAGCTCCATCCTTCTCGCTATAGAAAGCAAAGATCCCTTCCAAGAGGCTAACTTGTTAAGGACCTTATCTGCAATAGGCCTAAAATAAGCCGTTTTTGGTTTTCCTCTGAAAAGCGGAACACCAAGATAATAAAAAGGCAATGAACCAATCTTGAAACCCGAGAGAGCTGAAAGGATATGCAACCAAGAAGAAGAGACGACTCCCCCGAAAATGAAGGATTTAGCGCAATTGACTCTCTATCCGGACACAGCCGCATAGGCTTCAAAAGTATATATGAGATTCTTAATGTTTGAAAGTTTATCTTTGCAAAAGATGAAAACATCGTCAGCATAAAGTAAGTGGGAAAGGACAATGATATTGTTGGGGGCCTTGATTAGTTCAAGCTTCTTAGAGGAAACAAGTGAAGTTATCATTCGACTAAGAACTTCCTCTGCAATACAAAAGAGAAATAGGAAGAGCGGATCTCCTTGACAGACTCCCCAGGAACAATTAAAATGCCCATTGAGAACACCATTGACCTTAACCGATAAAAAGGCAAAATGCTGGATAATGTTGATCCACAAACAAAATTTTCATTGAAACCAAACTTTTGCATAACTCTTATGATTAAAACCATTAATGAAATAATGTAGACTGAATCAAGACAAAATTGTGAAACGAAATTGAACAAATTGAAATCGAATAAGACCCTCACTTTTCTCTTCATTTTGGTTGAGATTTCCACTAACTGTTTCATTCCTTCATTTTCTTCACTATTTTTCATAAATTAGAGCTTTGAAGATGACAACAGAAGGACATAAATGAAATCATTAAGGATTTTAATTTTGATATTACTAAATATGTTTACGAAATGTCACCTATATATAAAAAATAAAACAAAAACTCAAAAGTAAAATTAAATATCTTAAGGGTGTAAAATAAAATAATCGTTTATTACAGTGGTAAAATCTCAGATTTATTTTTACAAATGATAAATTATAACTCGTTCAAATAACGGAAGTAAAATATATTTAACTCGTAATATATATATATATATATATATATATATATATATATATATATATATATATATATATATATATATATATATATATATATATATATATATATATATATATATATATATATATATATATATATATATATATATATATATATATATATATATATATATATATATATATATATATATATATATATATATATATATATATATATATATATATATATATATATATATATATATATATATATATATATATATATATATATATATATATATATATATATATGCGCGTGTTTTTTTTTTGACGCCTGACTTCAAGACCGATCCAACGACAAAACAATTCAAATTAGGGTGTAAGTCTCTAATTTTAAGTCTAAAAAAAATTTAAAAATAGAAACTTTGTTGTGAATATATAATATGATAAATTATGTATTAACAAGAATTTGGCTAACTTAGTTGATATAAAGGTCTCATAATATGAATATTGACTTTGTTAAAGAATTCCATAATTTAAATCTAAAAGTTTATAAAAGTTTTCTTTACAAACAAATTTTAAGAATGCAATTATTCTTTTACTTTTGAATGATGATATTTATGTTCATAAGATATTATTTGAAATGAAAGATATAATATCTATAATTATATAAAGAAACATTCAATTTATATCGAGGAATGAACCATGTAAATTAGAAATTAAATTCTTCATTATTAATCTACTTCTTATTTAAAATAAATTATTTTTTTAATTAAATTTAATTGTTTAATTTAATAACTAAAATTTTACCTTTTTTAATTTCACTACGTAAAGTATCGCATATTCAAATTCACATCTCATTCAAAATATGATTCGATCTAGATTAACGAAACAAATTGTATAACTGTTTATTAACACAATTTAAATAATGAAGATACTCTCAATTCAACTATATTATAAAAACATATTTAGCTAAACCTATGTATACACAAAATTTGTCCTTTTATGAGAAATATTTTTCTTTAATAATGCATATGTACCCTAACAAAAATATTGACATATATAACAACCATATATCATTAGTAGTATTATTATGCAAAAACCATAAGGTAAACAAAAATTCAGAGATAGAGAGAGAAACAAACTTGCAAAGATAAGATGAGATACATTTCATCCCTTAGAAGTCCAAAGAAAGAAGAACATGAAGTACCAGAAGCTATCACTCCAAAACTACCACCAAACTTCAACAAATCTTACACCAATGAAGATTTCTATCTTTTCGACGAGCTCAAAGAGTACTTGAACATCGAAGAAGAAGAAGAAAAGCAAACGTTATCACCACAAAATACATGTAACAGTAGTAATGAACTTCATTGGGATTTCATGGAATGGGATGAATTTCCATTTGATGAAGGGAAAGATGATAACATAAGCAAATGCAATTTTGAGGTGAAGAGAGAAAATTTCAATGATGGATTTTGGGAAGTGGATGATGAAAATAGTGTTGCTTTGAAATTGAAATTGAATTTGAATTTGAATTTGAATTATCAAGATGTTTTGGATGCATGGTCTGACCGTGGCTCTCCTTGGGCTGATGATTATTCTCTTTCATTGTCTTCCTCCAACAATTGCTCTTATGTAAGTTCTCATCTTATATGCTTAACTGCGCAGAGATTAATCAAGTGATTAAAATTTATCATTTTAAAAATGAATAAATAGAATGTCACGTGTTCGAATATGTGTCTATGATATCTAGGTTGAGAACAATTATCAATTGAACTGACTTAATAAAATAGTGATTACGATTTTATTTTCATAAGTTTTAATATATATATTTTTTATGAATATGCTAGAATTAGTATATTTTATTTTGAATGTCATTATTAGATATGAATTATGATATAAACATTGTAATTATTTTTTTGTTTAGATGGGAGAAGTGCCAATATTGGAAGAAGAGAGAACAAGAAGAGAAGCAAGTGTTCTTAGGTACAAAGAGAAACGTCAGAACAGATTGTTCACTAAGAAGATAAGATACCAAGTTCGGAAATTAAACGCTGATAAAAGACCAAGAATCAAGGTCACACTTTTTGAATAATAATAATAATAATTTTAATTTTTTTTTATTGAGTTTTTGCAACACTTTTGTTATTTTGTTTTGTAACGAAAACAACTTTTTGTGATATTTTGGATGTAGGGTCGCTTTGTGAAGAGACATTGAGGTCACACAAGAAAAATATCTCAATCTCAAAATATCTTCTAAAATATCTAAGCCCACTTCTCTACATGTATTTTTTTTATTATTTGTAATTCTAATATTGTTGTATTTATCCATTCATATTATCTTTCTCTTCCTAAAGAATTGGAAGAGAATGAATTATACTAACGACATTTATGGCTATGCCAAATTTATGAATTTAACTATTTCTGATTTTTAAATGATTATGTTTTTAATTTTCATGATTGTGTCAGCAATTTTTTGAGATCCACTTCTTGCTGATATTTTTTCTGTCAAAAAGTGAGGTCTATGTTTGCTGGGTAGTGAGGGATTTGGTCACAAAGTTCATTAAGTGGATGGAATTTAGCTTACCTTTATATTTTGTTTCACTAGTAAAGTGTGGTTTATGAATTTTTTTTTGTATAGGGAGAAGGATAATTCAAATAATTTCATTAAGTGAATAAGTTCATTGGCTGGTCTAGGTTTAATTAAAAAAGTTAAATATAGTCCAAACTAATTTAATACTACTTGAGTTAATTTCTTCTCTAACAAATCTATCTAGAGTAGAACACATCAAATGGACTTAATTTTTTTTTGAGTTTTAAAATTTAATTTAAGGTTTTATATTGATTACTTAACTAATAAACCTTACTTTTTAAGTTCTTCAAAAATATATTGGTTAATTAATTTTGTCCTTTCTGTTCAATTTTAATTTTCAATATATTAAATAAGATAATATTATTGAATGTCTAATATTGACTTTATTAATTTTTTATTATTAACTATTAAATTATTTTAATCAATTATACATCTTTAAATTTTGATAATATATTAATTTTAATTATACACTATTTATTGGTGCACAAGAAAGATAAAAGACAAAAGGAATATTTATTGATAGCTTTAAAATAAGGATTTACAATGAAATTACTATAACCTACTCCACTAGGGAATTTTTTTTTGGAATAACTAGGTATTAAAATTTTTTCACAAATAACCATGTTTCGGAGAAAATTACGCAAATAACCATGTTTCAGAAAACCCCACAAGAGAGGAGCCAGCCCAGTTGGCGCCTACACCTTATTTTAAAGGGGAGGCGCCATCTCACTTGGCGCCTAGGTGTTAAAGGCTTGCCCTAAGTCAAGTGAGATGGCGCCTTAGTGCAATTGGGAGGCGATTTTTTGCGTTTTTTATTTTAAATGCGGTGCGTTACGTATTCGATATAGGATCAACAAAATTGAATTTTTATTTACAAAATATAATTACACACATAACGATTACATAAAAAAATACAGATAAGTGTAAGTGAGGTGGTAGGTGGCTGCATGCATGCATGCATGATAAGTGTCACTTTTGCAGTGTAGGTGCAGACTACGTCACAGCGTTGGGGAAGACATCTCTGCATGCATGTAACACAATTAGATGTGAAGGGAGGCGCCATTGGACTTGGCGAAAGAGTACAAAAATGAAAGGTGTCGCCATCCCTGTTGGCGAATAAGAGGTGACATGGGTTGCAGTGTAGGTGCAAGCTAGGTGACAGCCTTGGAGAAGGCATCTCTGAATGCATGTAACACGATTGGATGTGAAGGGAGGCGCCATTGGACTTGGCGAAAGAGTACAAAAATGAAAGGTGTCGCCATCCCTGTTGGCGAATAAGAGGTGGCATGAGTTGCAGTGTAGGCGCATGTTAGGTGACAGCCTCAGAGAAGACATCTCTGCATGCATGTAACACGATTGGACGTGAAGGGAGGCGCCATTGGACTTGGCGAAAGAGTACAAAAATGAAAGGTGTCGTCATTCCTGTTGGCGAATAAGAGGTGGCATGGGTTACAGTGTAGGTGCAAGCTAGGTGACAGCCTTGGAGAAGGCATCTCTGCATGCATGTAACACGATTGGACGTGATGGAAGGCGCCTTAGAGGTTGGCATGGGTTGCAGTGTAGGTGCAGACTAGGTGACAGCCTTGGAGAAGGCATCTCTGCATGCATGTAACACGATTGGACGTGAAGGTAGGCGCCATTGGACTTGGCGTAAGAGTACAAAAATGAAAGGTGTCACCATCCTTGTTGGCGAATAAGAGGTGGCATGAGTTGCAGTGTAGGTGCAGGCTAGGTGACAGCATTGGAGAAGGCATATCTGAATGCATGTAACACGATTGGACGTGAAGGGAGGCGCCATTGGACTTGGCAAAAGAGTACAAAAATGAAAGGTGTCGTCATCCCTGTTGGTGAATAAGAGGTGGCATGGGTTGCAGTGTAGGCGCAGACTAGTTGACAACCTTGGAGAAGGCATCTCTGCATGCATGTAACACAATTGGACGTGATAGAAGACGCCTTAGAGGTTGGCATGGGTTGCAGTCTAGGTGCAGGCTAGGTGACAGCCTTGGAGAAGGCATGTCCGCATGCATGTAACACGATTGGACGTGAAGGTAGGTGCCATTGGACTTGGCGTAAGAGTACAAAAATGAAAGGTATCACCATCCCTGTTGGAGAATAAGAGGTGGCATGGGTTGCAGTGTAGGCGCAAGCTAGGTGACAGCCTTGGAGAAGGCATCTCTGCATGCATGTAACACGATTGGACGTGATGAGAGGCGCTTTAGAGGTTGGCATGGGTTGAAGTGTAGGTGCAGGCTAGGTGACAACCTTGGAGAGTACTTACTGTTGATTTATTCAAATTCATTACAACCAAAAATTAGGTCTTCCTGTCGCAAGTGAGGTTGTTGTTCGTCTTCGCTGGACCCTTCTAATTTGTTCCCCCTCCTCGATGTCTCCCTCTAGACATCGCATCAACTCCCTCTTCAGACGCTCCATGGAGTGAATGTGCCAGAATTTCATTTTCATCAGAGGTTTTTTGGCGGAGAAAATAATGTAACCATCTATGATAAAAATCATGGGCGATGTCATGACGCAAATAAAAGAGTAAAAAAATAAGAGAACAGTGCGAGAAAGTGTGAGGAATGACGGATAAACTGACGAAATATTTATAAAAATTGCATTTTGCCCTAGGAGCCAAGTGAGATGGCGCCTCAACTCACTTTTAAAGTGCATGCGCCATCTCACTTGGCTAAAAGAGAGAGGAGGCGCCAAGTGGGATGGCGCCTAGGGCAAATTGGGGAGTGGATGCCCCACTGAGTTGGATCCTTCCTTGTGGGGTTTTCTGAAACATGGTTATTTGTGTAATTTTCTCCGAAACATGGTTATTTGCGATTTTTTTAATACCTAGTTATTCCAAAAAAAAATTCTCCACTAGACTATTTATACACAAAATTAAATCTAAAATATATCTTCTACAAAGATCTAAGAAGATCTAAGATATATATCTTCTAACAAAGATATAAACAATCTAAAAGATATTCCTAAATATAAATTAATATTTAATTAAATCTAAATTAATTCTAACACCATCCCTTAATTTATATTTACCCAGAACTGACAACACAAATTCCATCTGTTTGAAGGTTGTAGCATTCACATCCTCTCCATCAGAATCAGAGTCCAACTTCTGATTTGTATCAGCAGGTGTGATAGCAACCTTGCAATTTTCTAGCTTAAATATCTTCAGAAGCTCTAGTTCATACTTCATCTGATTTAAAATGATTCATTTCTCAGAGTATATAAATCCCATCCCTAGAAAGAAACTCCTTTTTCCAAGACCTGACATCTCAAATACATTCATCAGAACTTTCTTGAACTCAACTATCTCTTGTTCAGAACTTCCTGTAAGTAGTATGTCATCAATGTACAAACAGAACAGAATCATATTATCTTCTGAAGTATGCTGAACATAAACACCATACTTTATCTCACACTTCTAAAACCCTTGTTCCTTGAAAAACGAATCAATCTTCAAATTCCAAGCTCTGGGCGCTTGCTTCAATCCATACAATGCTTTGTGTAATTTGAACACAATCCCTTCCTAATTCTTTTTCTCAAATCCAGGAGGTTGTGAAACGTACACCTCTTCTTGTAATGGACCATTCAGAAATGCAGATTTTACATCTAAATGCATCAAAGGCCAATTCCTGTTAGCAGCTATTGCAATCACTAGTCTGATTGTTTCATGTCTCGCTACAGGTGCAAACACTTCAAAGTAATCCAGCACAGGCTTCTGTAGGAAGCCTCTTGCTACTAATCTCGCTTTGTGTTTGCCAATTGATCCATCTAGCTTTAGCTTTTTCTTGAAAACCCATTTGACGCTGATGGCTTTCTTGCCTTTTGGAAGTTCTATCAGCTTCCAAGTCTTGTTTCTCTCTATAGAATCAAGTTCTTATTTCATGGCTTGTAACCTAACTTACTGCTTAAGAGCCTCTTTCGTACTCATGGGTTCAGAGTCTACTAACATTACACACTGAATAACTTCTCCTTCAGAGTTTACTTCAGTGTCTAGCAACATGTCAAACTCTGCAAATCATCTTGGGATGCTTCTGACTCTTTGTTGCCTCTAAACTGGACCTTCAGAACTTTGGACACCAGAACTTTCCCCTTCATAAGCACTTGCTTCAGCAATTGGACTTTCTCCAGAACCTTGAATGTCTTCAGAGTCTGGATCACCATCAGAGTCAGAGTCAGAATCATCTTCTCCTTCTGTATCTTCTTTAGAGTCAGAGTCTTTACCAGCTTCAGAAACATGTGTTTCTGACCTTTCTTCAGAAGTTCTGTCATCAGAGTCAGGACGAGACATTTCCCAATTTCAAACTTTTGATTCCTCTACAACGACATCTCTGGTGAACTCAACTTTGTTAGTTTCTGGACAATAAAGTTTGTACGAACCTGTACTGTGATACCCCACCAGCAACATCACTTTACTTTTATCATCCAACTTATGTCTTATGGCTTTTGGGACATGTTTGTAACATACCGAACAAAACACCTTCAGATGACTAACACTTTGCTTATCTCCAGTCCACTTCTGAATAGGAACTATTTCCTTTAATTTCTTTGTTGGCCATCTGTTGAGCATATAACATGCAGTTGCAACAGCTTCTCCCCACAGAGTATGAGGAAGC